AGGACAAACGGGACCAAAGATGGGCCCGCCAGAGCCAGGCTCTTCCCTTCCTCAGCGCCGGCTCCTAAAATTAAAAGGGCAGGAAGGGCAATTAATTAAAAAGGGAATTAAGGGCAATTAAACCATGCTGGAAGAGGGGGTCTTATGCCTTTATACGTTACATTGGGTTGAAAAAAAAAAGAAAAATGGGGGAAATAAAAAGCAACTTGTGGTTTTTGGGGGGGTTTTCCCCAGTAAAACCAGCCAGCGAGGTCCCCGAGGGGGCTGCAATGCCCGGGGAGGGGTGGGAAAGGGGGTCTGAGCACCCCATTCACCAGGGCTGGGGCGCCAGGCCCTGATTTTGGCAGCGAATTGCCCCCCCAGCTCCCTCCTTCATTGCGAATGCACCCACCCACCGCTTCACCCCCCCTTCCAGCAGTGGGAAAAATCCACTCTCACCCCCAGTGTTTGCTTTTGCATAGCGGCTTCTTTTTAAATATCTGCTGGTTTTGGAAGGCTTTCTGATCTTTTCTCAGGCTTGTGTGCACAAGCCGGGCCTGATGCAAAACTTCTCTAGGGCAAACAGGGCAATAATCCCTGAGGAAAAGGAGCACTGCACGATGAAGCGTTCGGGGAATGCGGAGCAAAACAGAGCACACCCAGGCTGCCCCCGCGTCCGGGCCAAGGTGGAGCTGCTTTTGGGCACGAATTCAGCCCCCCCAGCCTAGTGCTACCAGATCTGCAGCCCAAACCTGCTTAAAGAGGGAAGATCCAAGCGCCCCAAGACAGCTCTGGGGATGTAGAGGTGGTGGAGGGAGCGACACTAAAGGGTCCTGGTGGTCCCTGCAGCATCCCTGGTCCCTCAGCATCCTCAGACCCCACATCCCTGACCCCCAGCATCCTCTGACCCTGCATCCCTGGTCCTTCAGCATCCCTGGTCCCCCAGCATCCTCAGACCCTACATCCCTGGCCACTCAGCATCCTCAGACCTTACATCCCTGGCTACTCAGCATCCTCAGACCCTACATCTCTGGTCCCTCAGCATCCACAGACCCCACATCCCTGGTCCCCCAGCATCCTCAGACCCTACATCCCTGATCCCTCAGCAGCTGCAGACCCCACAGCATCCCCAGTCCTTCAGCATCCTCAGACCCCACAACATCCCCTGCCCCCACATGGACCCCTAGCATTCACAGTCCCTGCATCCCTGGTCCCTCAGCATCCCTGGTCCCCAGCATCCTCAGACCCCCTATCCTGGTTTACTGGGACAGACTTTGAGTCAGTTTTCTGTTGAGGAAACCTGTGATTCTGTAAGCACTGCAACCCTCTATTTGATGGGGACACAGTTGGTAAAGCACTTTGTGGCCAGCTCTGGTGTGTACAGTCCCATAGTGATCGAGGTTTTCAACAGCTTTGAGTTGGCCAGGTGCAGGAGTTGAGGAGTGCAAGCCAAGGCAGATGACCCAGGCTGACCAATTAATATAATTCTATACCATAAATGTCACATTCACTATAAATTGGCGATTTTGCTGGGTACGGCCCCTTATTCCTTTTTCCCTGGCTGACATCTCGAGAGGACTTGTTCACCATCCTGCCCCTGAGGCCTACTTCCCTACAGTAGCAGCTGAGTATAACCCTGTGTATTTTACCTGATAACTGCCACTAATATTAGCTTTTATTATTATTATTTTATTAAATACATTTCTATTTCAACCCACTCATCTCTTTTTCCTTTTCCTGATCCCCCTTCCCGAGTGGGGAGGAGGCATCAGTGCATGAATCACGACAGCCCACAGTATCCCCATCCCACCACAGCATCCCCGCCATGACCCCCTGCATCCCCATCCCACCACAGCATCCCCCGCACCACCCCCACCCCACCACCCCGGGGAGGAGGCATCAGTGCATCATCCCCATCCCTCCACAGTATCCCCATCCCACCACAGCATCCCCCCATGACTCTCTGCATCCCCATCCCTCCACAGCATCCCCACCATGACCCCCTGCATCCCCATCCCTCCACAGTATCCCCATCCCTTCACAGTATCCCCATCCTACCACACCATCCCCATCCCACCACAGCATCTCCCCCAATGACTCTCTGCATCCTCATCCCACCACAACATCCCCATCCCATCATAGCATCCCCATCCCACCAAGCATCCCCCCATGACTCCCTGCATCCCTGTCCCACTACAGCATCTCCGTCCCATCACAGCATCCCCCCCTGCATCCCCATCCCACCATAGCATCCCCCGCTGCATCCCAATCCCACCACAGCATCCCAATCCCACCACATCTCTCCCATCCCACCACAGCATCCCGGTCCAGCAGGATGAGAGTCAGCACCCACCCCTCTCACAGAAGGGATTTGGGGTCTGGGGATCACCACAGGTTCGGTTCGGGGCATTGCCTCCCCCCACCAAGCCCCGGAGCTGTCGAGAGGGGAAAATCCCGGGAGGATTCGGCTCCCCACACTTGGAGGAAGCACCCAAAAACCCCTCTTTGATGTCTGAGGAGCGCAGCCCCGGGCTGAACATTATCACTACACAAAGCACTTCAAAGCCCCACCACCGCCCATCCTCAGCTCCCCTTCCCCAGCCCCGTGTTATGGAAAATCCCATCCCCAATGCTGTGAAGCCCCTCGCAGTTTCCCTGTGTCCCTCAGCGCTGGTGCACGCTTCCACCTCCCATTTTTCACGAAATTTCCAGGAAAGGCCTTGGGAGATGCCAGCAACAGCCACGGGGACCAACCCTCCTGTTGTGGGGTGATCTCCATCGGCTGCGGCTCTCGGTCCTTCCCATTTTTGAGGACAGCCACCAGGATTGACCCCCAAAGAAGCAGTTTACAGCCCCAGCACCTTCCCAGCCCCCATCCATGGGATTGCTCCATGTGGTGGGGAAAACCATGGCGTGCCAGGGCCTGAGCACAACATGGGAGGCGGCCGGGGGTGATCCCTTCGGAAAAGGATCCGGGCAGAGGCTTGGCACAACCTCAAAGAGACCCAAATCCGCAGTCTGGCACCCCCAGAGCATCCTCCCCCCTGCTCAGGGATGGATTTTGTCAAGCTGGGATGGAAACCAGGATCCGCAGCGTGGGGGAAATATGTGGAGGGGGTCCCAAAAGGCAAAGGGTCTGGGTCTGAGCCCTCCACGGGATGCTTTGGGGGGGATGGGGATGCTTTGGGGGGGATGAGGACCCTTTGGGGGGATGGGGATGCTTTGGGGTGGGAATGGAGATGCTCTAGGGGGACCAGGGATGTTTTAGGGGGGATGGGGATGCTGCAGACTCCATAAAACCTTCGGGCAGAGCAATTGCAAGAGCACGGCCTGCAAGTTCGTGGGATGCAGGGGGTCACTAGGACACAAAACTGCAAAAATCAACCCCGCTGGACACACGGCCCCATGGAGGGGAGCCAGCCCATA